TCAGCTTGGAATCGCTCGTCGGGAGTCCCCGTGGTGTTTTCGGGTACACCTCTTATGCGAACTCCAAGGTTGCTTGAAGATCGAACTGGTGGTGGCGTATCGATCTTTTTGCCCATTTTCACTGCACCGAGTGATGCGGCGAAGTTCTGTGGCTTCGTTTTTTTCACCTCGTTGAGTTCTAGTTTCACAGTTTCAATCAGGGCATTTGATTTGGTTATGTTCTCTGTTAGTGTCTTCATTTGGTCTTTGATTTCAACTAGTTGGTTATCGATTTTGGTCAAATCGTTTTTTTGGTCAGTTTTTGGGTCTCGCTCTTTTTTGTTTACACATTGGTTGCAAACATTGAGGATGTTTGCTTTACACTTGATGAAAACGTCTAGGCTATTTTGATCAAAATTAGTGCATTCCGGTGTCATGTGTAGAACTTTTTGACAAAAATAACACACAAATTTTTCTTTCTTGATTTTTTCTTGACAAGTGTAACACTTGTTTCCTCGATTCGCCATTCTGATTTTGCTTTACAGAATTTGCCTGCATCATTGCATGAATACATCAAAAAACATAATTGTGAGAAAAATTGTTTATGATAAGAAAAATAGGTGTTGTGTCAATTAAGCAGGCAAACGATAGTATATTGGCAATTTTTGAGTTTGGCAAGTTAAGATGAAAACTTTTGAGCATGAAAAAAAAATACCTGGCCGGACTCCAGCCTTTGATCTTTTTCATCCAAAAACATGTTCTACCTCTTTGCCATAAGAGCAGCATTAGGCGCTGAATTTGAAATGATTTACAAGTAAACTATCAACTGATTAAGATCTAGGTTCCGATTTGACAAGGTTTGCTAATCGCAAGCTACGTTGAGCCATTCAATATTGAATCCAACTTACAGTTTCACAAGTTTGTTCTTGTCTTCGGCTACGCAGTACAACCTGGTCTCCTCGCGGCCTATTGGGGCAAAGTCGGGGTGTCTACACAATGATGGGGCAGTGACTGTTGCCTCGTACGTACAAGATGCGACCTCACGGATATCTATCAGCTCCAGTCTCGCTCCAGGTAGGCAAACATAGCGGACATTAACGCTCCTTGGTTCATTGTTCTTGATGTCACAGGGGGTTCCATCTGACATCAAAACCTCAACGTAATGATGCGTTGAGTCCTCCAACTGAAGAGTTTTCAGCAAACTTTCAGGCCATCTTTTTCCATAATGCTCATCCGTATATTGCTGGCCTTGCCACAAACCTTCCAAAGCTCCCAAGAAATACTCCTGGACCTGACTAGGTTTCTCTTCGTGGTACTGACGAAAAGTTTTGCCATGACACAATTGATATATCCAATAAGCGCTGATTAGATAGGAACAGGCTTCAGATAGAAATATCTCCTCGATAAGTTCTATTGGACCCGGACCTTCATATTCTAATTACACAGACACAAATGACACTTGATTACATGGCGCCATTACATATTACTCAATTTAATTTTTTTCAAGTTTTTTTTTTTCAATTTAACCAATCAAGATCCCGTTCCAAATTTTTAACCTTGAAATCAAAAACTAATTACCTGTATTTTCTGATTGGTCCATTGTTCCATCATTTGGTAAATAACATTTGTAGTTCCCATCATTTTTTGCTTTCATTTCGAAACTGTTGAAAAACTTCAAGACATTTGCTTTTGATTCAGGGTTGTCATCTACCGAATCTTCGGAAAGAACTTCCTTCAGATGCTTGGGGAGCTGATTAATTTCTTCTTCAAAAAAATAACTGTCCAAAAACGAATCTCTTGAGTTGAACCATTTGATGATGAATATTGGCTCGCTGTCATATATAGATGCACAGCAGATACTGGCAAACCAGATTAGTGGATACATTAACTTAAATATGTACAGCATTATCTGAAATCACATATCGAACTATGGATAGATGAATTTGTTTCCTCAACTTGGGAAAAACATCTGGCTTCAAAAAATTTTCCTCAAAATGAGGTCGGATGTAAAATGTTCCATAATTCCTGAGGTCGGATTAAAATGGAATCTTAAAAGAAATTGCAGAACTAAAACTGATACCTACAAGACGAAACACGAAAAACGATGCCACCATGAAAAACCATCGAGCACCCCTCTCACAATCATTTAAAAAAAATCAACTTGACTTGAATATCCAACTTTGATTAACCGCGTAGAACTTGAAATACAAAAGAAAAAACTACACCTTGACATCAATTGTGACTCAATTTCAACCGTTCAACCATTTTCCCGCTATTCATGCAAAACCTTTTCTTTAGAAATGAAAAATCGACAAAATAAATGTTTTTTTTTCTTAAAATTATTTCGTTTTCTCGTTTCCCATCTTTCCTGATTTTTCATGGAAAAAACACACTTGATGTATAGGCCCTGAAACAGAAAACTCAATTCTTCTTCACCAAATTTTTGTTATTAACTCTCTTCAAATAAAATTGTCGCGTGTTTGAATATCTATGTCCTTAAATATTCAATCTTCAGTTTGGCTATTCGATTTCTCTACAATTGCATAACTAAAATCTGCGCTATTGTTGACGACGAAGACATTAAAGAATCCATTTTGTTTAATTCATTTCTTGCAGCTATTTGCAATTTCACTGAAATAGAGTTGTCTTGTTCGAGTAGAGTTGTCTTGTTCCCGACAGAGAACACCGCTAAATTCTACTGGAGTGTCATCGCTCGGCAAGAGAGAACCTTGATTGGGCAGATAGACGAGTGGAGCTGGCCAAGGATCCATACGATAAAACTACTTGGGTTAAGACTAGTTAAACTTCTTGAGTTATCTTAATTACAATATTTACCTGAGTCCAGAGTCATGTCAATATGTGAGTGTTGAATTGAAATTCTTGAGTTTATTTTACACAGTCAAGAGTAAAATAACTAAGTCCGACGAGGAGTATGTGCCAGTCGGTCATATCTGGAAGTGTAGCCTTGCTTAGGGATAAAAACAAATTTTCAAAAATTCGAAATGACCCTGTCATGCTCAACTTTCTCGCGACAACTGAAAATACAAAATAAATTAGATCAGAAGATTCGAGATATATTTCCGCGAAAGTCGACAGAGATCACTAGAGTAATATTGCTATTCGCAATTTTACCAGAAACTTCAGTACGAGTACAGTTGTCTTGTTTCTATAGAGAGGATCGAGAGTTCAAGAAAAGAAGTGCAATTGATTGGGCCAGAAAGAAGTTTGACTGGGAAGGTGGACAGCCGAAACTGCCCAATGGTCCAGGGAATGAAACTTCTTGAGCTAAACTTATTTACTTAAAACTTCTTCTGGAGTTGCTTTATTATTTTTACTTACCTAATTCTAGAGTCGCGTCATTATGTGAGTACTTAATTTAATGTTGCTCAGTGCTTTTTATGTGATTAAATTGAGATAACGCGAGTTTTAGGTTGATCCATCTGAAATGGATCAAAGGTCCACTGTCCTAAAAAAAACTAAGCTTCCAACACTGTTTTTCATGGCATTCGTGTGTTTTAGATATTTAGAGACCTGAACATTGGGGCGTTTCTATTTCTATAGTGTGACATTCGACCAGAATGGCCAAAATGCAATCTCTGCAGAATTCGGAATTTTAGCAGTAAGCCTTCCGGATTGGTGGTTTTTAAGAACTAAGAGCGTTATTGGAACGTTTGGCCAGACGGTGAGGGCTGGAATATTCTAGTATTTTTAAATATCAAAAATTCGAATTATGACGTCATATTTCTGAGAAACGTCAGAAACGGCCATTTTGGCTAAAAACGAGAAAAAAAGAAGAACAACTTTATCTGCGATAGCGAACAGGACGAAAATCAAGATTAAAAACGACAACGAACTACAGAATAGCAGAGGACGTTCCGAGTTGCAACTATTGTGCTGCTACAATAGTTGCAAGGCCGTTGCGAACAACGGTGAAGGGTAAGAGACAGCCTTCCGGAATAGGAGGAAACCAAGATTAACGAGCTTGATTCAGTGGATTCGTCAATCCGGAAGGGTAAAGGAACTGAAACTTTTATCCTGTTACATAAACTTTTAGCTTCCTGTCATGTCCTGACTTGAATTTAATTAATATCTAGATTCATTTTGATAAGGATGAGAAGCTAGGAGTTGGGGGGGAGAGGGTTGATCCATCTTCGATGGAGATGATGATTTTTATCTACTGAACAAAAACAATAGTAATATAATAAGTAGTAACCCTGTTTTTAGGAGTGACCTCGTGGTCTGGGGATACTGAGACCCAGCCATGAGCTCACTAGTTGCATGTAATTAAGTTAATTTGAGCGTTCTGGTCGAAGCCGGAGAGCAGTGACGTTTTTGTCGACCCGATGTTGGAAAGACCACCGAAAAGTACTGGCTTGGTAGAGACGGTGAAAAGCATGCAAAGCTCTGTTTAGACGTTAGCCAGTCGTCTTAAGACTTAGTTTTGTGATCCGTCGATATGTATATTCCGGGCGAATGTTACATACATGTTTTTATGGCGCTCCTGGGTGTTATTCTTTTTAACATCATGACCGGCAGAACCGTTAACGAGCACTCCGCGCCGAGCGGATGCTCACATTAACGCCCTTATTAGGCCTAAGCCGCCGGGGCGGAGGGGTGGTTCGGAGCGCGGAAGCCCTCCGGATTACCGTGAATAGCTTTTTAACTTAGTTAAGACCAAAAATTCACGAACCAGGAAGGGTGGGGGGATCGGCCATTCACTCGTTCCCTGAGAGGTTCGTGACCAAAAACACTAAAAGATATATATAAAACCAAACAAAAAGTAATATAGTACCCAAGAAAAACAAAAAAACATAAAAAATTGCCGAAAAAACCAAAAACAGTAAAAAAGTAGAAAATCAGTAGAAATCATCCCCCCAGACAAGATGTGATCCAACCCCCCCGTTTGTTGTTGATAGATATATTGTTGTTACAGGCATTTATATCAGTCAGGATCGTTACGATCAGTTTTGTAGCCCGTTTATGAGGCTTGTACTGTAGGGTTATTTGAGCATTTAAGCACGTTAATGATAAATTGCGCTCAATCCGGAAGGGTCAGCTGATTTGCGCTCAATTCGGAAGGGTCTTGGGTGAAGACCGATCCGGCAAGCAGCACAAGGAGCAACAAAGAGGCTCAACGACGACAACAATCGACTGTTGGGTATCGTTAACAAGTTTTGTAGCCCTTTCGGTACAAAAATTAAGATAGTAAACTGTGGGGGGCTCGACAGTGCTGCACTGTAGTGACCCTTCACCGAACTGCGAATATCCGAGTTAAGCACCTTAATTTGGATATTAAGGAAACCCGGAGGGGTATAGTATTACTAATATTATTACTTATATAGCCTATATTAATAGTCTTATATCGTTTTTCAGTCAAAAACAACGAAAACAGACCGGTTTTAAGGGTCAAAATAGCGATATTTTGATCCCCCCACAAGTCGCGATTTTTGAAATATCGATATTTTTTGAAACGGAAAAAAGCGCTAAGTTAGTGTGTTACATCGTAACTGCACTACCATAATAGATAGAACCGGTTAAGTTAAGTTCGAGAGTGGTTGGAACTATTTTGGTACCGAAAATCGAAATTTCGTGATTTTTGAGAAAACGGAACACTAAAAATTTGGAAAATTTTTTGAAATTTTTGAGTTCCGACAGTAGAAATAGTTGTTCGGACAACGTCCACTAGTGAATCTACAAGTTTTAAAACCCGCTACCCGAAAGCCTTCCGGGTTGCAGAGAAATCGAACTTAACGTGTTTGATTTGGTGGATTCATCAATCCGGAGGGGTACAGGTAGCATAGTTTTTTGCAAATTTTTTCTACAAAAGCGTTTTTGATCGGGTTTTTTGCATTGAACTAGAAGAGTATAGGCCTTCTGAGCTCGGATCAATAATTTTTAGGTCGAAAAGACCTGATTTGTGGAAAAAGTTAGGCGGAACCTATAAGAGAGAAAAAATTTTTGAGTTTAGAAAAAAGACGTTTTGGTTAATAACTTTGGAACTACTGGGCATATCGAGTTGATCTTGAGCTTGAGCTTACTGATAGGGACAAAAGTTTTTCGGAAAAGGAAGCGTGAAAATTTTTTGAGATTGTTTTTAGCAAATTCCTCAATTTGGAAGGGTACACCCTTCACGTTTTATAAATTTCTTTTAGAAGAGCCCTTTACCCCTACCAAAAGGTAATAGCGGTTGAATAAAGTAACTTTAGGCCGTTCTAGACGAGAAGGGAGGGCTAAAGGCACAACAAAAGCTTAATCGAGCCGAAGTTAGGCCGGCAATAAGACCCTTCACCGTTAGTGTGAATTGGCAAATAAGAGGCTTAACTTCAATCCGGAAGGGTCTAGGAAGGTAGTACATACCCTTCCCAGTTAATTGAAAGAGCATAATTGCATCGGAGAACGTATCCGGAGGGGTATAGGTTGAAAAAAGGAAATCTCCGAAAAGCCACTTTTACAAAACCGGAGGGCTCCCAATCCGGAGGGGTCAAAGATTTTTCAAGTTAGGAGGGGTCCGAATCCGGAGGGGTCTTATAGTTGCTAATTCGGAGGGGTCCAAATCCGGAGGGTTCTTGTATTAACCAACTCAGAGGGGTCCAAATCCGGAGGGGTCTAGATTCTATTAGTCCGGAAGGGTCCTATTTGTGCCAATCCGGAGGGGTATTATTTTTTTGAAGGACTTAGGTAGACGAAAGAAAGACTAAAAAGTGAGAGGTATTAGGTTATTAGCACACAGGCTAGGTATCAGTGACTGCACTGGTAACTTGCCTTTCAATAAGAACCAGACTAATACAAAACAGGTCCGAACTCGGATATTCGCGACACTAAGCCTAAATTAAAAAGAGCGTGATTCATTGGTGTGGATTGAAACATAATACGTTTTTGGGAAAAGTGACTGCCCTGAGGATTTT